CACCTGAGCCCCTCCGGTCGAAGGCAAATGACCCGTCCTCCTTAAATATTGGTTATAAAACAAATTTCTTTTTTTCCTTTTTCTTTTTCTTAAAAACCCTATCTCTCTCTCCATACTTTTTTTGTCTTTTGTATTTGAGTATAAAAGGGGGCGGGCGCTCCGCCTTGCCTGCCGCTACCTCCGCAGGCTGCGCTGTGCCTGCCGCAGCAGCGTGTCGAAGTCCAGGGAGTCGAACTTGCTCTTGACGGGGGCCGGGTCGAAATCCTCCCGGTTTGAGTCTGGAAGACACGGGGAGAGGCTGCCTTGAGCCATGGGGACACTTGCACAGTTCCGGCCATCCCCACAGCAACTCCTTCCCATCTCGCTTCACGTGCCAACCTCTAGACCCAGAGCTGGGCTGATGGAGGACCGGACCTGGCCTCCATTCCAGCTCTGGAGGGACAGGGAGCCCCCGTCCAACCTCCCCTCGGGGCAGGACTATCCCTGGATGTGGCCCTGCCCAGCCAAGCCTGACTGACCCCAAGGATGGGGACTCTTACACCTCTGGAAGGAGAGAGGGCCTAGGGTGCCACCCCCCAACTTGACTCACCCAGGTCGGCATAGTTCCTCCTGCAGAACTGCCGGCGGCCGCCGAAGCACAGGTCGAAGGGCTGCTCGTCCGGGCGCCGCAGCTTGTGCCCGCTCTCGATGGCAGCGAAGGCTTCCTCGGCATAGCGGTAGGTGACGAAGCCATAGTTGTCCCTGGAGCCAGAGAAGGAAGGAGATCAGCAGCAACGCAGTATGTTTGTCCCCCCTTGGTCTGCACCGTCCCCTTGAGGAATGGGAAAAGGGCCAAGAGGAACCATCCCCGGGAAGAGGCTGCCCCATGTCCCCACAGCTCTTACCCCTCGGAGCGGAAGTGCAGGGTGCACTCCTCGATGTCCCCGAACACAGAGAAGCGGTGCCGCAGCTCTGACCGCGTCATCCTGCTGGGGATCTTGCCAATAAACACAACTCGCCGCTCCTCCTGTGGGCAGGGATGGGGAAAAGGGCCAAGAGGAACCATCCCCGGGAAGAGGCTGCCCCATGTCCCCACAGCTCTTACCCCTCGGAGCGGAAGTGCAGGGTGCACTCCTCGATGTCCCCGAACACAGAGAAGCGGTGCCGCAGCGCGGACCGCGTCATCCTGCTGGGGATCTTGCCAATAAACACAACTCGCCGCTCCTCCTGTGGGCAGGGATGCACCGTCCCGTGAGATGGAGACAGGGGGGACTCGGCGTCTCCAAGCCCTCCCCGGTGAGCAGGACCTCTCGCACAGAGCACCCTCCCTGCACCGCCACCCATCACACCATGCCCTGGCCAGAGCTTCCCAGCAATGCTGCCTGCCAGGCTGCGACCCCACGGCTTTCTGAAGTGACAGAGGGGCTGGAGCCCCCCAAATCTCCAGCCCCAGCTTCCCAGCCCTCCAGCACTCACTATTGCACGTTCCTTCTGGAGGATCCTCTGCCTTTGGTAGTGGTCCTGTGCGTCGTAACTGTATCTGGCAGGGCAGAAACCGGACACATGAGCTACAGGGTCATGGGGGTGCCAGAAGAGAGTGATCCCAGACACAAGGGAGATACTGAAGGAGTGGGTCCACCCATGCCTGGGACACGGGAGGCCGGGAGATGGGTTGGGGGGAGCTCACACCCCTGCAGGGTGGCCACGCTCACCTTCTCCGCCTGTTACTCCTCCTGCGGGGTGAAGGGGAACGGGAGCGGGACTGGCTGCGGGATGTGGACCTGGACGAGTAGGAGGATGTTGATGATGAGGATGAGGACCTGTCCCGGGACCTGCCACATGACCCACAGCTGGAGCGGGAGGAGGAGCTGTGGGAACATCTTGAGCGGTACCTGGGGGAAGGAGAGACACTGCTCAGTGCCGAGCCCTCCCCATGCCCAGCACCATGAGGCTTCAGAGAAGACTTCCATCCTCCCCAGGGTACCCAGCACCCCACTCGGACAGGACCCACCCCCAGAGTGAGCTGGGAAACTTCTGCTCAAGTTTGTAACGATGCTACAGAGATGTTGCTCCACTGACTGCAAACACCGCAGCAAAAAGGGAGCAGGCTCACAACAGACACAGCCTCTGAGCAAGAAACAGTCACGGGGGAACCATGCAGCACATGGCTGCGACTGGGCAAGGGCCCAGGAGGGGCCGGGGCTGCAGCGCTGAGCCCCGCACGGTGCACAGGATGACACTGGAGCCATCACATGAGCGTTGCACTCAACAGCCATGCGATGGAGACCACCACGTACCTCCGACAACACCGAGGGCCGTGGCACGCACTGGGACCGGGCTGGGCTTCTGTGCCCACAGCCTCCTGCCTACAAGAGCTTCTCTGGCAGGGCCAGGCAAAGCTTAAGGGCAGCAGGACTGAAACCCCTCTGGGATCAAGCCCTGAGGCAGCCAAGCCAGACAGGTTTTTCTCTGCTCGCCTCCAGCAGGTCCCTGCTGCCATTGTGGCTCCTCTCATTTCTACACCTAGGGTCTTACCAGCCCCACAGCACAAACACCAACACCTCCATTAATATCTCAATGAATACATCCAAAAGCCAAGGTGCAGCCAAGGACTCGTACCATGGTGCTCCAGGAGGGGTAAGGAAGCCCAGCTCAGAGGTGGCTTTGCAGGAACACCTGCCTAGATGTGGCAGTTGCCCAAGCAGACAGACGCTCCACAGCTTACCTTCGCCACCGCTTGGGTGGTGGGGAGAATGACCGTGACCGGGATCGGGAGGACGAGGATGAAGATGAAGATGAGGACTCACTAGCTCCATCTGAACTGGAGCTGAAGGAGCGGCTGGCACGGCTCCTGCCAGCCCTCCAGCTGCTGGCAGAGGGGCTGGGCGAGTCCCGGGGTCTCCGGTAGCAGCGCAGGGACCTCTTGGCAGCAGCATGGCTGGGCTGGGCACTGGGAGTCCGCATCTCCTGGTCCCGGCACGGGGATGCGGCTGGAGACAGGAGCACCGAGGTGGGGGGGCTGCTGCACCCAGCGGTGGCCTTGTTGGGGACGCTAGTCCGATAATCCAGGGGGGCTAGGCAGGCCGTCCCCAGGGGCTCCTGGCTGGGCCCCATGGTGGTGGTGGGGTCTGGTGGGGTGGGCTTGGGCTGGTCCAGCGTCCGTTTGGTTAAGGAGGAGATGGGTTTGATAGTGATGTCCCGGTGGTGTTTG